GCTGCCTTACAGGCTTCTTATTCTTCAAATCGTCTAATTGATTGCTCACTGAGCTCACTCAGTCCAAAGTAGAGAGAAACTTTGTACAGACATCATTAGTTTTTCTCCATTTAAAGATTAATCATGAAGAGCTCTGGCTCTTTAATTCTGTAATTTGTATATTTAATGGGCTGCTGCAGAATCTATGACAGTAATTAGCATAGCCTGAAAACTCATTAATACACAACAACATGATTAATGCAACATTAATGCAAACATGACTGAAGTTATTTGGGTTATGTAGTAAGAAGATTAAAGCTAAAATGTCCTGTTTGTTTTACCAGTTGTGGGTATAATAGGGTGACAAAAAATAAAAATACAAATAGGTATCAAATTAGTAATTTTAACCTAGCAGATTATATCCAAATCATTATCATTTCCATAATGTCAGGTGTTTTGATACAGAAAACATCATGTATCCTGCAACTGTTTAGGCTGGCTTACCTGTTTCAGGTATACTTTGTTACATTTGCAGTGATTTAGGTCATAAATGTTTCAGATCTTGCCATATTGAAAAGAACATTTTTGAGCCTGGTATTGTATTGAATACAAATAGAAATGTTACACTCTATATTTAAACATGTCCTGATCTGGCCTTTTCACTAAACATTGTAGGAAAATAGTAATAAGAAAAAAAATCTTTAATTGGAATGTATGAAAAGTTTAAATTAGTTTTATGCCAATAAATATTGTGCTTTTTTGCTTTGTAATGAAGTTACCCTTACCTGCCACTGTTATCATTTTTGCTTTGCGATATGTTTTCATATTCATCTCTGATAAAACCAGAAACATGGAAGATTCCCTCCAAACAAAATATTAGTTGAAAATTGGCTGAAAGATTTGAAATAACAATTGCTGAATCTGGTAGACTAGAAGTAACTATGTATATCTGTAGTGATACTCTATTATTTAATGCTTATAGTTTTGAATTTTCAGCTATACTGAAAAGTGCAGTTATTTTATTTTACTTAAGCCTAATTTCGTTCAAGAGGTCAGCATGTTATACAGAACAGAATCTATTTCCTCAGCAAATGGCCATTTTATGAATTTCATTGATGAGGACAGATTTGAACTTGGATCCCAGTGGACCATATCCAATACTTTTACTACTACATCACACCGACTCTGTGTGTATGTGTTTGTGCGCGCATGCACATGTGTGCACATCTTTGAGTCAGTGTCAGTGACTGGAGTCTTCTTACCAAGACTTCAACAGTGGTTTGTTATTATCTGCTTCCTAGAACTGAAGTCCCCCATGTTTGCTTTGTGCCTAAAGACAAGATTAAAACTCACAGTCTCCTGTTTTCTAGTCTGATGCCTTAACTGCTACACCAAATTGGCTTTCCTGACTTTCGTTACAAAAAGGAGTATTTTAGAAAGTCACTATGCTTGTCACTTTTGTTTGTCTTCCTCTCAATCATACATACATAGAAAGATGCACTGGGTGAGTGTATTTTACATATTAATTTTCTGTAGAAAAATTGCTGTGGATATGCTTGGCAAATTAAAAGAAAATTCTATCGCCCAATATCCTCCTTCAATATTTGAGAAGCTTTGAGGAGAGACAGGCAAGACTGATTTCACATCCTAATGCCAGACAGCTGAGTTTCCTTGAAACTTCAACACTTTTACATCTATTCCATTTAAAAAAAATTCTTGGGTGTCTATATTGTAGTTATACAAGATAAGCTTTTCCTTAGCCTTCATCTGACACTATGATTAAAAGTTAGGTGCCTGATAGGAAAAAAAATTTTTGAAGAGAACTAATAGATTGAGGTTGTTTTGTTCTATGGGCTGACATAGACGCCTGATAGGCCATGTTCTCATTTCATTGCAAAATATTTGCCAATGTCTGAAAGGATGAATGTTCAGAACATTTTTTTCATGATATTATCTGTGCTTTTCCCAGTCTGATGCCCCCTAGATGCATTAAACTGCAACTCACATGATCCCACAACAGTATGTTGGCTAGTATGGTTATTCGCTATGCTTGTTAGTGTTTATGGGGATCCAGGAAAGGTTGTAAAGAAAGTAGTTGCATTGCAACTTCAGAGGACTTTGCAAGAAACAAATTATTAGCCTCATTCAGTCAGGTTTCGGGCTTGGGTAAAGTACTGAGGTGGCATTGGTTGTACTCTTGGATGACCTCTAGTGGGGCCAAGATGGGAGTGGTGCATCCATCTTTCTTTTCTTGACCTCTCAGTGGTTTTCAATACTATTGACCAGGGTATTTTTCTGGACTGACTTTGGAAGTTGGCAGTGAGCAGCATGGAGTAGTACTTGTTCTCCTTCTTCCTTTTTTTTTTAAAAAAAAAAAAACAACCCATGAATTTGTTATTAATTGTTTTAAATTGTATTCTTCTTTCACTTTTCTGAGACTAAATTCCAGTAAATGTAATGTAACTTACATATGAATGAACACTATGTGATTAAATATTATTAAATACAATAGATATATTTCTGGATGTGTGTGTGTGTGTGTGTGTGTGTGTGTGTGAGAGAGAGAGAGAGAGAGAGAGAAAGAGAGATGCTTGAAATCTTATTGTTCTGTTGTTTTGTTAACAGAATGTGATGAAATTTACTGTGATGGTAGCTCCTGTATGTGAAACATTAATTTCCATATGCCAAGTTTGGACTAATAGGTTGACATAATTGGTACAAAGGGAAGGCATGTTTATAGGTTATTATGCTTCATCTTCTGTTGTGGAGCTGATTATTAGGGAAGACTGAAATATAAGAGATTAATTCACAAAGTTTTTGATGACTCTGCTGTGTATGTGTTTGGGTGTGTACTTTGCCAAAAAAAAGAATCAGTCTATAGGCTGGGTCAGCTTGTTTGCAAAAGCCTTTTCACATATGGCAACACACAGGCAACAAAGAGAAGGATCATTTCAACTTATTTTCAAATTATTTCAAGCCAGGCCACAAAACAAATTCTGCAAGTGAGCCTAGAACTATATTGTATTGATAAAGACTGCAGAGATAGCCTTTTCCCTTTCTTATACCCCATAGGGCATAACCCTTTTCCTAATGGTTTTTGTTTGTTCACTTGCTTATTTGTTTCCCAGGCTTAAAACATGTCTTGTAACCATTTCAGCATCGTTTCTTCAAAGTTGACTCTGTGACCCTCTATACCAGGTGTCAAACTGGTGGCCTGTGGGCTGGATGCATTACGTGTAGGACACGCCCACCCTGGCTCCGCAAAGGCAAAAAAACATTGCAATATGTCATGATACGTCACATGACGCGACTGAGCTTGACATCCGTGCTCTATACCAGAGGTCCCCAACCTTTAGGGCACCAGGGACCGGTTTTCCATGAACCGGAGGGGGCTTGGTTTTGTGTGCTGCCTGCAACCTGCTGATGGGGCTTTGCTTGTTTGTGCGGATCAGTTGCTGGCATGCCGTGTCCCAGTACTGGTCCACAGACTGGGTGTTAGGGACCCCTGCTCTATACCATAAAGGCAAAGCCCTTTTAACACCCAAGAACAACACCCATATTCTGCAGATGAGCAATCATTGTAAGACTATTCCCAAGGTTCACTCTGATTATTAGTATTGTGTAAAAGAAAAAGAATTAGCCAGTCAATCCTGGGAAAATGAAAATCTATTTTGAATTAACCTCTTTGGGTTGTGCTGAATCTAGTGAACCTCACCATTAATATTAGCTTTTTAATGTGTACTGTGTATTAAAGAACCTTGATGATTTAATAGAAAAATAAGTTCATAGGAATAAAATATAATAATCAAAAATTGAGTAAGCATAGATATTTTTCTGTAATTTCTTCTCATCAGTCTCCTTTCTGTTATCCCAAGCCCTCTATAAGCCAACTGAAACATAAAAGAGCTTTTGATTATATTCCCTGCCAAGTTTATTTAAAGTCAATTGTCACATAGCTCTGAACAGCTATTTTAATAGCATGATGGATGTTCATTATCTCAAGTGAATGTCTTAATATTTGTGAGTATATTGTGACTGTATGGGTGTCAACCTGTGGAAAGATTAAAGTATGTGAGTCAAAGGATACTGCTTATGGTGTGAAGTAATTAGTAGCATTATTGTAATATGAATATGTGTTGTAGTTATGATTCTTCAATTTTTCATAATAGAATCTGTCTACCCGAGAAGCTTTCATTACTTATTATTTTCTGCCTGACAAAGGAAGGAAAAAATGAATATGAAAAAGTTGATTCATTTGATACAGCTGGGTAGAACCCAATAAATTACACTACACTGTTATCAGTGTATTAAAAGGGAGCAACAAGGACATGAATATCACTGTATAAGAAGTAAAAACTCACTCTCAATCAGAAGTACTTACATCAGGAACTATGCAGAATGTAGCAAATAATTTTAATATTTGGTTCTAAAATAATTATGCCAGTTTAATATCCATACGTTGCAATTTAAAGGTTTTTTAATCATTTTATTCCCCCCAACCCAGATTTTCCATGAGAAACCTTCTGAGACAATAAAACAAAATGAAAAGCATTTCATTTCATAGGTAGAAAATGTGTTATTTAGAAATCAATTATATATATATGGTATTATTTTATTTGGCCGTATATAGAATTGACAATAGCAACTGTGGTCCCTGTTTACAGTGACTAGAATGATAAGGTTGGAAGATCTTGGACGTCTTCTAGTCCAAATTCCCAGCAAGAGCTGGAATCCCCAGACTATCCCAGAAAAATGGCATCCCAACTGAAAACTTGAAAATTTCCAATGATGGAGCATCCATGACTCCAGAAGGCAGTCAGTTCCAAAACCTATGAATCTATTTTGTTTCCTCAGTTTTATCCAGACAGAGATCAGAAATAGTTATTGGATGTTCTTCTCACACAAGATCAAATATGTGTAAATGCCATCTCTCCAAATGTTTTTTGTCATGTTCATTTATATGCCATGAATGTGTCAATTAGTTAGAAGTAAACATGTGCTTTTTTTTTATTTCTAACTAGGTATTAAAATAAGCTTTAAAACTGCAGAACTCGATGGCCTACTTTTTCTCTCTATGTCACTTGGTAATCAAGAAGAATTCATTGTCCTTCAGTTAAGAAAAGGCCGTCCTTACTTTCTCTTTGATCCACAGGTAAAATAGTGAAAGTTGCATGGCAATTTTTAATAATACAAAAGAGTATGTATGTATGTATGTATGTATGTATGTATACTTGCTCTTTCCCTGTTTCACATAAGAGTTTAATGTAAAGGTTCTTAAACTATGGGTCCAGACCCCTGAAAAGTCATGAGCAACTTAGTTGTGGGTCACATTATTTTTTGAAAATCTGATCAGATTTGGACAGACAAATTAGGAGCATTATCAGAAATTGCTAGGAGCTTTACATTTCATTTTGCCTGAGCAACCAATAGTAGGCAACTGATGTAACAAAGTTTAAAAACTCTGTGATGTACAGATTAAAATTTAATTTTTCAAAGTAATATATTTTTTCAAACCTACACTAATGAAATCATTAGTTTTATTTATGGGTGGGTTCTCACATAAATTAATTTATCATGCATGGGGATCATATTACTACAGAGTCTTAGAAGGACTAACTAGACTTCAGGTGACATATTCATCCCTAACAAGGAGAGAAGAACTGAAAAATGTGTACATTGTAATCAGTCAGGTAATCAGTTAAGTGGAAATTGAATAAAATTTCAAAATCACAATTATTTGGCCTTTATGAAATTTTATATTAAAGCTATACAAAAATATTTTTATAGATAAAAAACAAGGAAAATGAGAGCATTCCATTGCCTGGTAATTATGATATTGATTATGAAAATAACCGAGTTAATAACAGAGTATCCCATTTTGAAAAAGGTAGCTGGAACAAAAATTCATTCTCCTATTCATTCTCCTTCCTGCTTGTAGTAGCAGGAAATTTTTATTGTTTATTTCAAAAAAAGGGTTTGGAAAATGGACATATTTTTTTCCCAGGGAATTAAATGCAGGTTTCAAAACTTTATTATTCACTGATATGTTTTTTTTCTATTTGAAATTACAAGGATTTCTTATATAAGGGTATCTCTTCCTGTTCTTTCAATTGACGCACATCTCTTAATCTACAGTCTATTAATTGTTATTTACTTATTTATTTCAAGTGCTATTATGTCATTTTAGCCACATAGCAAGTTTAAGTGGCTTATGAAAATAGTTACAATAAATTCTCTCTCTCTCTCTCTCTCTCTCTCTCTCTCTCTCTCTCTCTCTCTCTCTGTGTGTGTGTGTGTGTGTGTGTGTATGTATGTATGTATGTATGTATGTATGTATGTATGTATGTATGTGTGTGATTTTATAATTATAGTTGTATCAATAGCATCGTTAAATCTAAATAACAATTATGCCATTAATAATGCCCAGATACACCCTATATTCCCCTATCCTCCTTATTAGTGTCCAAGGACCTGCCTATTGTGATGGAATGTGCACTGCTTAGCATATGGATAGGATTTTGCCAACTCAGTTTGTCAAAAAAGATGCAAACATATGTCTAGTATTCCTTGTCTGCCAACATCACTTCAAGTATTTCTTCTACTACTTCATTTCCTGAGGTTTCTCTGTAATCCAGGATCAGTGTACAGGTTAAGATGTTCTGGGGCAATCCCATCAATACACCCCAATTACATTTTGTTCCAGAGTCTGATTCAAATCTCAAAATGGCTCTCATGTCATTTTGAAGGTGTCCATGTATGCTCTGAAATCCAACTGAATCCATCTGACACCTGAGGCAAACCGACTACAGAATTGTGACACTGATCAGTCCTATAGTCACCAGAAATAGTGTCTCCATAAGAAATGACTAGTTTTTATATCTACCATCCCCAGATCATGTCTCATATAAATCAAATCTAAGATGTGACTTTGCTTTTGTATCAGGAATGTAATGATCTGACGTAAGCCTATAGTAATAGCTCATGTACTGAGCTATTCCAGAATCTGCCTACAGAGCTAGCAAGATGAAATCAACCATCACTAGCATCCTGGATTTGATGAACTCAAGGTTTTTCTACTGTATACTCTGTTTCCAGTAGTGGGGTAACTAGCCAGATAATTCAGGAAAATAATAAATAAAGCATGAACAGTATACATTTGTCAGACCTGATGTATGTTACATGACATCTTCTTCCAAAGTGATGTCCTCCAGACATATTAGTATACAACTTTCAGAATTACTGACTAGCATAACTCGGGACTATTTTGTCTGGCAATTTATGGAGGCCCCATGTGAGGAAAGTGGATCTATTGTAGAATCTTGGATGCATCTATCCTGAATTAAGATCATTGTGTTTTCAGTAGATATACAGTTGCGTTGTAAAGTAATCTGTGACCTACAAAACAAAGTGAAAACTTGCACATTAGAAATTATCACAAATAATCTAATAGAAGTGCTTATTTTGTCTATTGAGCAAGCAGTATTACTGAGTTAATTTGTCTGAACTCAGAAGCTGAGAAGCATTGGGGCTTGGTTACTACTAGAATGGGAGACAAGCAGGGAATAATAATAATAATAATAATAATAATAATAATAATAATAATAATAATAATAATAATAATAATAATGATAATAGTAATAAAAGAGTTGGAAGGGTGTAGGCTAGACTGAAAAGTTGAAAAATCCCAGAAGACAGAAGCAAACTTTTTTGAATTGCTGCCAAAAAACCAGCATGATTTGATCTGTGTAATCACCAGGAATTAATCTCAGCTCAAGGGAACATTATTTTCATAGGAACAGTCTTTTTACAAACATTTCTCTTTAGCTTTTATCTTTCACTACTAAAAAGGCAAAGTTTTTCTCAAGTAAAACTCTACTCTTAGTGGTTTCATGGATATTTCCAGGTACTGAAATGTAACAATATTCCAAATTTCAATGCAAATCTTCAGTAGCACAATATTAGGATTTTTTTAAAAAAAGGAACTAATGTGCAGTCATCAGAAACAAAAATATCCCTACAATGTGAAAGGAAATAATTGAATCAGTTATGCAGTTTGTATTTTGAAATAAAGTCTTATTTAGTTTGCTTGACTAAATAAATTTAAATAGTGTATTTTATAAGACATGCATTTATGTTCATATATAATTTTCTTCAATATAATATGTCTGTAATTTTTGCAGGCAAGATAAATAGATAGAGCATGCATTCCATGGTATCTGGATTGTATCTTGGTCACAAAGTACATTACAAAATTCAGGAATACATGAAAAAGTTGAAAAATAACCTTTATTCTAATCCATATATTACTTGGGCAAGTACAAATTCAATAGATTCACTTAAAAATATAGATTTAAAAATTATTCCCATTCTTAGTACTACATATGTTTAAGTGCAACTTGCTTTCTACTGTGTCTAGAAAAGAGAAAGCTAGAGATTTCTCCAAAACTGATCAACACATAGCTATAATTTGTGCAATGTCCAGTCTTGTTAATTTGTGCAGCATCTTGCTTAAGATACTTAAATGTGTTTATGGATGAATGCCTTTTACTTCAAAGCAATTTCTGTTAAGGATGATTGTAAATGGATTGTGGACTGTAGACAAATTCAGCTTTTCACATGCAACAGAAACACTGGAAGGAATGCAGAGCAAAACTACAGACATTGCTTCCATATTTACATTGTGTTTGGCATATGTGATTATATAATTTGAAATTGAGAACTTACATGTGTGATTTTAGATAAATAACATATAAATGCTCCAGATTGTTGCCAAAATATATAAAGAATCACTTTTGTAGACACCTGATCTTTGGCATGCAGCATCGTTTGTAACAATTTTAACGCTAACTAAGTATACTTTGATGAGACAGCATTTAATAAAATGCTCATTAATTTCATCATTAGCAAGGGTATGCTAAGAAGTAAGCCAGTTTCTTATGTCACGCCCAATTAGCATCCCATGCTAGTAATCCCATTAGTATTGTTGAATTCACTAATGGAAAAACTAATGGGCATGCTACCAGGGCACAGTAATTGGGCATGACACCAGTTCTGGTTTTAATTATTAAACTATGATAATGAAATGTGTGTTTGTAAAATATTAAAATGTTGAAATAGGGTGGAAGACAATAAAAATAGTGTATGAATAGAAAATGAGCCTATTCATAAAATGCATTATCATGGATAACTTTTCTATATATATTATATGCTTACCAAGATAGCATCAGGTTTTAAAACATCTGATGAATCAACTTAAACTCCGCTATGGCAGTTGTGAAGTTTCTCACTAATGCACTGAATTTCACAGAATTAATGCTTATGGGCACTATCACAAAGTTTTGAGCATACTATGCACTAAAGGTGATAGAAACATTACGAAAAACACACATGTGACACCTCCACTCCAATTAATTATATTAGAGAAGCTATATAATTATTTTTGTACTTCTAGAATTTTAGATTAATGCATTTCTGGAATATTCCTACAATAAAGAAAAATAACAGCAAACTTTAAGCACAAGTTTGAGGATATGTGATAGCTGTAGTTATCTGCTCTGTTAAATATGTTAAATATATTTTGAGCATTTCTCAGCTATTGAAACTATGACAATGGTTGTCCATTTTTAATTGCTGGATAAATTATTTTCTGCAAAAAATAGAAATAATGTGAATTTAAATTAATTGCCATTCATTTTAAATGACAAACTTTAAGAATGTTTCTGTATCAATTAAAGTGGCTCAAGGCACTCAAAAATTAACAAATATATTTCTGATTATAAATCATGTATTCGTTCTCTTTCCTTTTCTAAGGGATATTTTTATATTTGCATCTGTTTCTTCATACCTTAACCAAATTTAAAATGTGTGTGTGTGTGTGTGTGTGTGTGTGTGTGTGTAACTTATCATATAAAGCTCATTAGATCAAGATGTTTGTGTAAAGGCTTATAATTATGGATGTGCTTAGAAACATTTATGTAATGCCAAAAAAGAAAAGTGAGAGTGTATAGAAATTTAATATGAAATTCTTATATACAAATTAAGTATCACTTTCAAATGTCATATGCTCACTTTTGATCTATACCTTTTTTTAAAAAAAACTATCACTATTCTAAAATTGCTATCATTTATTTATTCAAACCTAGCTTCTACATGTCTTTTTTTTTTCTACATGTCTTTTGAAGAGAATGATCCTTTTCAAGTTAGTAGCCCCAATGCCATAAAGAATTGTTCATAAATAATCTGTGGGATGTTTTAAAAAATTAGTGTTAAATTATATTGATCTTTTGTGCCTTTGGTTATGGAATGAAGACCCATATTCTTTCACTTCCTACATTCATATGTTCTAGTCTGCAAAATTAAAACAAAATCAGACCTGGGAAGCATTTTGATAGAAAATCAACTGGAAGCATGAACACTGCAGATGCTGTGAGGCTGAAAAAAAAAGTCCATCTTCATAACCAGTTCCATCAACTTTAGATCTGTTATTCTTTTGATTCCAACCCACTTTAGAGGATTGCTAATGTAAAGATAAAATGGTGGGAGATCCCCATATAACCTGCTTTGAAGTCCTGAGAGAAAGATGGGACATAAATAAATGGAAACCGAATATTTTAATTACTTTTTAAAATGTGGATCACAGTTGGATCACAGTTCTGGCATGATGAGCAGGTGCTAGCTGTGGCTTGGAAGGCATTTGCACAACTTCATATGGTATACAACTTGCACTCTCTCCTGGATTGGGAAGGCCAGTCATTCATGCTCTATTAGCTTCATGTGGAAGTTTCAGCTGGTCCAGAATGCAGTGGCAAGGACACTGGTGGGCATGCCTCCATATGCCCATATGTCATCCCTGCTCCTCAAGCTGCAATGACTGCTAGTTTGCTTCTAGATGCTGATTATAACCTTTAAATCCTACGTAGCATTGGGCCTACTTATCTCAGGGACTGTTTGTCTCATATGGTGTCTTTCCAGTCAATACGAGTCACCATATTGAGTGATCCACATTCCTTCAATTATACATCTTTTGGGACCCTGGAAGCATACCTCTTCTGTTACATGTCTATGGAGATTCTCAGTCATCCAGGTAATTGTTGTCCCAAAGGTACTTTTTCAGGAGGCAACTGGACTTTCTTGTTTTTCTTTGAAAACATTTTGCTTCTCATCCAAGATGAATCAGAGCTGAAGAAACTTCTTGGATGAAAAGCAAAACATCTTCAAAGAAAAACAAGAAAGTCCAGTTGCCTCCTGAAAAAGCACCTTTGGGACTTCTCTGTTACAGTACCTGCCTACTGGAATACGGTTGTCCTGAGATCCATGTGCCTCCCACCAAAATGGTGTTCTGGGGGGACTTAAAGATCTCACCATTCTCCCAAATTCAGGGCTAGGGTGAATTATGAAATGTATTTGTAAATATTTTCTATATTGTTGACCAAATTCACTATTTTGTATGTTTGCGTTTTAATATTCTTTTTAAAAAATCTTAAATTCCTATGGAAAAAAATAATGTTTCTTTTCTTATATTTTATTTTGTTGGTTTTACTATGAGCTACTCAGAGTCATTCTGGAGTTGTGTAATGCCTAAATCAAAATAATAATTGTTCTAATTATTATAGGGTTCTGCTATTGCTGTAACTCCAGTAAATGATGGTGGAAGGAAATATAATGATAACAATTGGCATCATCTGAGTGCAATAAGAAATCAAGCCTTCGGAAAAATCATTATAGATGGACAATTCTCAGGTAATGATCTCATTATGATCAATTTAATTTTCTGAAGGGTTTCTTCCACCCATTATTTCTAAGCTATTCTGTGAATGTTTATCTTATGATTATTTTCTCTGTTATAATTTTGTATGCTTTCTGCCAGGCTAGCACACTTTTCTGAGATCAGCCTTTTTGTTTTATAATTTGTTTTATCTATAAAACTAAAACAGTGAGTTTTGATTCAACCTATTCTAGTTCACATTTAAACACAACTATTATTTTTTAGGTTCCTCATCAGCTACAAGTGGTAGTATCATTATAGGAGAAAATACAGGCATTTTTGTTGGAGGACTTCCACAAGACTTTATAATTGAAAGAAAAGATATAGGTGAGAAGATTATACTAGATGAATCTTAGAATTCGTTCTAAGAATTAACAAAGACATTTTTTGTTGTGTGTAGCTAAGCATTGCCTGTACTTTCCCCACCACCTCTTTACATGCAGACATCTTTATCCATTTCACTAAATATTCAGAAGTTGATTTTCTGCAACTATTATTCTTTTAGTATCTTGGAAGTTATTTATTTCTTTTATAAAGCCTGATTTCTTCAGTACTGCTTGCTGAGATGTGTGAATGCTGGCTCACCTGCTTGATACAGAAGCATACTGCTGTACTACAAAGAACAGCTTGACAGCACAGTAGCTAAGAAATAATCACCATATAAATGTAAAGTATAAAATAGCATGTATTAGATTCAATAGGATGTTCCCAACTGCCCCTCCCTATAGTTGATCCATTCAAATCCTTCACAACATTTTTTGTTTTGCTGCTGCAACAATATTTTGTTTAAGGATCATATCCAAGAAACTGTTACAAACAGGTAAGTGTTTCTATTGATTCTGGGAACTGCCCTGCGAAAGCAAGGAAGGATATAACTTTGAAAAGATTCTCTTCATTTTGAAATTCTAATAACTTTGCTGTTTGTTTATTTATTCATTAATCAGGCCCAACTAAAATAGTCACAAAAGGATTTGTGGGGTGTCTCCGTGATATCTTCTTGCAAAAGATGCGTCATCCCTATGAAGTCTGGGAACCTTTAAAATGGGAAAAAGCATTAGAGCAAAGGAATGCTTATCACAGTTGGGAAGGTTGTCCTACTAGCCTTGAAGATGGAGCACATTTTCTTGGGGAAGGTATAATCATATGGTAAAATTGTTAGAAAAAGTATTTGTTTTTCTTTCTGTTTTAGACAAAAGAATATTGCTCTAACATTGGAGGTTTTTTAAGAAGAGATTAGACAACCTATTTGTCTGAAATGTTATAGGGTTCCCTGCTTGAGTAAGGGGTTGGACAAGAAGACCTCTAAGGTCCCTTCCAACTTTGTTATTATGTTATTATTACTTACCTTTTGGTTCTGTTATTTTATGCATGTATTAAGTTAAACTCAATGAAAACTGAGAAATCCAATGTTATTTAAAAAATATAAAATTTATAAAAAGGGAAAAATCATATCAAAATCAGCTAAAGCACAACTGGCTTGTAGGAACAGAGGGATGGATGCAAATGAATATGAAAAAACATCTGCCTGTCATCCACTGTCTATTTCCCACCCACCCCCCTTTTTTAAGGAGGGTATCAGTTGAAAAGAATGGATATGTTTTCATGTATGTTGCTAATACGTGTCTGTTGCTAATATATGTGGGCTGAATTACAGATTTATATATATATATATCTTACATGTATGTGCTTGAAAACGTAGATCTGCATTCCTTAGACTGATATTATATGTACATCTATGCATGATTCATATTAAATTTTATTTTCACTTATAGCACCTATAGTATAATATTCTTGCCTTTCTCCTTAAGGTTTCCTAGAACTCCATTCAAATATTTTTCATGGTGGCATGGATTTTGAGATCTCATTTATGTTTAAAACAGATCAATTCAGTGGATTACTTCTGTTCATTTACAACAAAGATGGCCCTGATTACATTGCTGTAGGTTTGTTTGTTGTTTTTGCTTGGTTGTTTTGCTTACTTGGTTTAACTGTAGATTGCTGTGAGCAGGATGCAGACAATTTTTTAATGAAACATTTTCATATTTTGGAATGGCCAATTGAGGTCACTTGTTGCATAGATTTTTTAATTCAATTTTAAATTGTAGAAATGTTGTCTCTGGCTTGTAAAAATGAAAGAAACAGACACACATAGAGAGACACACAAATTGATTCTCCTCCCATTCCAGTTCTGTAAGAACCGCAGGCAGCTGATGGGATAAGTCCTGTTGAACTGACTTTGGATATTTTCATTTTATCTTAAAAGTGAAATATTATACAAAAAAGGATATTCTCTACAAATTCATTTGAGAAAAACTGTGTATATCACAAAAGCTTGGATTTTGCTTTTTAAACCCAGTAATCCCAGCACTACTTGCAATTTCTTGCATTGTTTTTTATTTCTAGTCCTGGAAATTCAATAGTCATTGAGACTTAAAACTATATTCCTTAAAAATCACTGCACTTTTTGAATGATTTAAATTCAGATGCTAGATTGGTTTTTTCCCTGCAATCATCTCTCTCTCTCTCTCTCCCTCTCTCCCCCCCCCCTCTCTCTCTCTCTCTCTCCTGTTTTAACTTCAAATGGCAGGCAGAACTGAAAAGTGGAAGTCTGATTTTCCTACTAAATAATGGCATTGTCTCCACACATGTCAATCTCTGGTTAGGATTGTCTTACTGTGATGGAAACTGGAATAAAATTATTTTGTCAAAAAGAGGACCAGTAGCTTCAGCAAGGATGAATGAATGGACAGACCATGTGATGGAACCTGATTTGGAGCAGCTATTTGTAAACTCCCCAGTCTACCTTGGAGGGACTCCAGTTGAGGTCCAGGGAACATTTAAAGAACTGGGCTTAGAACAGGGTGTGTACTATATGGAGAGTACTTTGATTTGTGTGTAAATAGAAATGTATCCATGCATCTTGCATCCCCTCCTTATGTTAAGTAATATTTATGTAATTATACTTAAATAGAACCACTTAGTATCTTACTTTGAATTCCATGCTACTTTTTAAAATTAAAT